ACTAATGAGGCTATTTTTTTAAAAGGTAGGACAGAAAATGACTTCTATACTTTTAAAATTTGCCCAAAATTTAGGAGTCTTTAGACCAAGCCAACTATAGAGCTTCTTCATCTCAAAAAAAAAAAAATTATTCATATATCAAGAAATTTATAAGTCCAGAAGATGAATTGATAAAGGAATGAAGTACACATGTGGTAGAAATAGGTTGATCACTTGACTCAATCAAATGACTTTTTGATGCAATTAATTGAGTCATATGAGTAACATATAAATAATAATTGAGCCTGATGCAGTTAAAAATTGAGACTTTCTAGGATTACTTTAGAGTATATAGGCTTCCAGTGTCTGAGCAGATGTGGAATGAAGCTTTTTATATTACAAAAATATTTTTCAGAAAATTCATTAGAAATGTTTTATATTATAACAAATAATATTGATTTAAAATTATTTGTTTTTAATATTGCGAGCGTGCAATCCGAGTTTCCTATTTAATAGGTTATTTATAGCTCAACACACAGCCTCCTTGTTGACATACAGTTGATTCTGTTGTTTGACACACAGCCTTCTCGCTGGCTTATGGTCAATTTCCTTTATTTATATATATATATGACACACAGCCTACTCACTGACTTATGGTCAAAAATTAATAAAATATAACTTTTATCCTTTTGGATAAAAGGGTCCCTAGGTTCTATGTATGTAATTATATCCCAAAGGCGTCCCCTTGAGATGTTTCTCAATAATTAGAATGTTGGTTATTTGCTAGGTACAGCAAAGGTTTACCCTTTGTAGTTTATTAATTATTTAGATACTATTATTTTTAGGGTAAAATATGTTATGTGTTTTATTAGCGATAATAATATTATTATTACAATGTGTTAGGAAATATTAATTATTAGATCAATAATTAAAAGATTGTCATGAGCATGATGATTCTGACTTGGTCTAAAACCAAGTCTTTTTATACCTCTTGGGGTATTACAAATAACATGACTTTTACTCTAGTTTGTCCAATAAACTATGCTTATTAATATAAAATAAATATTTGGGTCAACTGAGCATTACAAATAATAATTAATTGACAATCTGTGAATAAATGAGAGTCATACATAGAGATCGGTGGATACAAAAATGACTAATCGAATACCTTTGCATGAAAAGTTGTACTATACTTTTATTCCACTGCATAATTTTTTTTTTGATGTGCAGATAAAACATATCCCAATGAATATATAAATGATTTTTTTATTGCCTTTAATTAAGTAAAGAAAATAGATATTCTTCGGTACCTGTGGATTTAGAGAATTTTCATGTTTTTTACATGTAATGTTCGTCATTTATTACATTAAATATTGGGATTCTAATTCTGTAATTCTGTAATTACAATCATAAAAAAGAAAAAACAAGGTGTCCCAGTGACATTAAAAAAACTTCAGATAGAACTGTGTTCTTGGAGGTAGGTGGTTTATTCAACTTGCTTGTTTAACAAATATATTCGCATATAAAAAGTACATTATTAAAATAACAATTTATTTTTATTATTATTATTAAAATTACATTTATATATTTATATATATTTATATACAAATAAAAAAAATAAAAAAATTTATTCCAAATCAAGACTTTAGGTAATTTAAAAACACTTCTTATTATATAATATTCAGTTTTTTCATTAAATAACAATTTTAATATATGAAAAATAATTTTACATTAATTAGAGCTAGCTTGTTTTTTGTGATGATGGTTAAAACGAGATATCCATGATTTAATTTGTTGGAGTGTGGGAATATTATCAGCTTCTATTTCATTGTTTTCGGCATGCTTTTCAAGTTGCTTCAACATATCTTCTGGTGAGAATTTATTACTTTTCTCTATATTACCAGCCAGGAACATTTCTTTCAATTTTTCAATTACATTTAAATTTAATCTTTTACCCCAAATTTTTGTTTACTCCTTAGGGCAAATCCAGGTATTAAATTCTATGCAATAAATCTTTTAAGTCATCATTTGAAAATAATGTAATATTTATTGGCTCAAAATTAGTAAATTGTCAAAAAATTCAAAACCTATGAAAATTTTAAAACTCATCAAAATTCAAACTCATTTCATGCATTGAATTTAAAACTTGTGTCAAAGTTCAAACTTGTATTGAATTCAAACTTGTATTGAATTCAAACTTGTGTTAAATTCGAAACCTGTATTAATTCAAAATTTCAAAAATTTTTTATTGTTCTGTGTAAGGTTGCTTGCCAAAACTCATCCAGAAATCAATCAGCAGGGTTTCGGTAGGTTACACATTAATTGTTTATTAGAGTTTCGGCATAGTTTCAACAGGATTTTTGATAAGATTTAATATAGTTTTGCCATGGTTTCAGCAATTACTAAGGAGGTTTCGCCCACAACCTTAGTTCTGTGTAATGGGAATTTGTGGATTTCATTTTTTGATCGACAACTCTCTCATTTATTCACAGATCATCAATTAATAATTAAAAGTAAATATTTACATCAGCTGAACAAGTTCTTGAAATATAAATATAGAAATATGAATATGAGTAATTTACGTGTGATACTACGCAATGTGCGGCGCAGTAGTTTTACAAAATATAATATTGAAAATAAAAATAGAAATGATATCATTTTCACGTGACTTCCGCAGTAATTTGGTTTGGTTGGATCGGCAACGCGGGACCTCTATATCGGTCCTTATTTTACTATCTCACAATATAAGATTATAAATTTTATTATAAAAATAATTTTTTAATAAAGGGTGCATAATTTGCGTAATCTACCAAGTGTTGCATGCATAATTTAATGTTTGTTGCCTGCCACATGAATTTGGGTCTCTATACAGTCAAACCTTGTTTTAACAAATCCATGGTACAGACCACCAAAATTCTGTAGAGAAAATTTGTTAATTTCCAAATAATAATAAAAGATGAAAGCAACAACAATAATAAAATTTTTAAAAAACATTTTATCCAAATAATAAAAAGATGGATGCCAAAAAAAATAAGCATTTTATCCAATTTCAAATAAAATGATAATACATAAAGTCTCAAAAAGATAGCACCTACTTTAAAAAGCATTTGTTACACAGTTGTAAAACAGGGTCTGAGACTTTACAGTAACATGAACAATAAATCATTCCAAAAAAATATGTATAAATAAAGATGAATTTTTCTTTTATCAAATTCTTACAATCCTACACAATTAAAAATTTTCTCCCAACAACAATCATCATCATCATCCATTAAAAAATGTGTATATATCACTGCTGAGCAAAAATCCAGGTTATCTTTATTAAAACAAACTAAACCCCAACCAAAAAAAGCACAAAAAATATGGAATTGTACAGGTCAAGTTAGTGACACATTGAAAGAGCCTGATAAATGGCTTAAAATTGAACCAAATTCATATCAAGCAAAATTAAAAAATCTCATTCTTTTTCCTGTTGTGAATGTTGTAACTATAATTTAAAAAAAAAGGCCAAAACAAAAATTCATTGAAACAAAGTTTGTTGAAACAAAGGTTTGACTGTACATAGATATTTAATGGTGGAGGTTATTTAGTTAACAATTTTAAATTTTCCAATGATGACATTTTGCTGAATTTAAAAATTTTAATTTCCATCTATATGTAATTTTCAATAATATTGCAAGTGTGCAATTTCAAACACAGATTGTGATATGGCCAATAAATATAAGATAAAATAAATATGAAAGTCCAATAATATATAAATTTCACTATCTCTGCACACAGCTAAGGGTTCTCAATTCCCACTCACCAATAGGAGCTTTTCCAAAATACTCTACTGCTCATCCTAGGAGCTATCAAATCCCGCTCACAAATAGGAACTTTCTGGAATAATTCTATTTGCACAATTCTTACCCTACAGTACTAATGCTAAGTACTGCTGGCACAGCCTAAGATAATAAAATAAAAAAAATATATACAAGAAATATTTACAACTATACCACTTGAGGTGCCCCTATAAGCAACATATAACAATCAAACCGGGGGTTCCTAACTGATGATTAGTGGCCAGACTACTAATCATCAGAGAGGACCATGGAACAATTCACAATGGCTTTTCCCGTTTACTATGCAAAAATTCATAATAAGGTAAAATGTGTTTATTTAATTATTAACAACGGGGGGGGGGGGGGGGAATTTTTCAATTGTTAGAGATTATTATGAA